AACCGTTGACCATGCCAAGCTCGGAGCTTACAGGAGGTTCTTTTGCGCGCACAAAGCCGGCTTCCTCAACCGGATTGCGCTTGCTTCTGCTGTTGCTAGCAAACGCTGACTCAGGGACTTTGGGCAGTTTGATCGGACCTTATAAATTACTTTAAAGGCTTCGCTGGGGTCCACATAATATCCGGAGTCAACCATGTGGGCAAGAAAGGCGCTGTTGATGCTTCTGACTTCACGCTTGCTCAGCCATGCCGGGAGGTGCTCCCGTATTCTTTTGGATAAGCGCCGACTCGTGCAACCGATATAATCTGCTCCACAGATCCAAGTAAATGAGAAGGTGCACATAGAAGTGGTCTGAGGTGGCAGCCTATCTTTCCCTTCGTCGTGCAGTACCCAATTGGTTGAGAATAACACCCGAACTTTCGCTGCTGGGAAGGTTCGTGATACGGCTTGGTTGAGGCGTCTGCCTAGGAATTCGTTTGCTGCGTCCCCTTGAAAGGTGACTTTGGGGAATAGCGTCTTCTTTTTGCAGCGGGTGTGGTGGGTTTTGTTCCTCTCTCCACCATATTCTATATGATGAATCTGTTCGGATATCCGTTCTCTCGAAGCAGGTTCCGGATTTTCTGTAGCTCTATTTCAATAGTGTCTGCCAAGCAGATTTTCTTGGCTCTTTGCGTTAAGCAGCGGACTAAGCTACGCTTCTGTTGGATAGGTACAAACCTATTAAAGTTTGTATACTGTCCGGACCAGGTTTTTCTTCCGATAAACGCTCCTTCGGACGCTACCGTCAGGTCTTCGGCTTAGGAGGACATCCAAGAAGGGAAGCTAACCCGCCGTCTCCACCTCCAGGGTGAACTTAATGGAGGGGTTGCTTGATTAGCAGTATTAAGAAGTGCATGTACATTGGTTTTTGCTGGGGCGATGGTGAAACTATCATTGACGTATCGACCATAGTGTTTTAACTCATGGATCTGCTCGCTGAGTTGAAATTTCTCCAGCTTGCCCATGAAGATATAAGCCAAGAGAGGTCCGAGAGGCGAGCACATAGCGATGCTATATATTTGTCTGTATGGTTGGTTGGTTGTAAAAAATGAACTGCACATTCAATGTGCATTTTACTTATAGTTCCTTTAATGTATAAGTTGTTATTCCCACTTTTATCTGATTTGCCACCAAGAAATCGCAGAGGTTGTCGGCGTTTGTAAACAGCGATGAGACATCTAGGGGGAGTTTCATCATATCGTTTATGTTCAAGCCTTTGACGCCGTTGATAAATTGGAACGTATCTTGATAGCTATGTATTGCCAGCTGCTGCTGTAAGGGTTTAAGTTTCTCTGCCAAACACTTTGCTATTGCATGATATGGCGAGTTTCGCATATCCAAAATCGGACAAACTGGCAGGCCGTTCTTGTGGATCTTAGGTAGGCCATATAGACGGGAGATGTATGTGCCTACTAGCCGCAGGTGTTCGAGGTCACGGTCGCTTATGAATCCTGCCGTGTGGGATCTTCTTAAGCAGTTGTTGAGCTGTGCCTCTACCTCATCCGTACAATCTTTTCCCGATCTACTTTCTTAAGTTTCGTCTGATCAGATAGTATGGCCACATCTTCGTTACGTAGTCCGATCTGTTCATTAGAGCGACGCCGGTTTATTTGTCTGGTCTAGTAACCAAGATGTCTTTGTTTTCTGTTAGTTGCTTTACCTTGTCTACGTGTGCTTTTGTCAGTAGTCGGCGATTTGTTAGTCTCCTGTTCAAGTACTGGTAACTACAATTCAGCAGTATTGATTTGAAGTGCTGGACACTATCTGCCGAGATCGGCTTGAGGTCGTAAGTCTGATTATAGAGATTCTCGAACTGGTTTTCCAACTCTAACTGATTAACCTTTCGACCAGGCATGCAGGATTGTAGACCCAGTGATAATGTGTTAAGTGAAGTTGCATCAAATGCCAGAGAGGAGTAGTTATGTACGTACCGTTTTGGATATTTGGGGAGTCTTGACTGTGGTTTGATTTCGTGCACTCTCTGAAGGAGTGACGATCTCTTGGCGTCTTCTTCCTATGGTTTGAGTGTAGCTGCTGAATTACCGTTTTTCTCCTTGGTCAGGGTATCTTGAACAGCAGCGCGTTGGCACACGTGACGCTCCAGTTCATCAATCTTTACGCGAGTGCTTTCCAGTTGGTTCTCGCCGTATCTTCTAAAGGTTTCTGCAGTGATCACTGTATGGCTCCGTCACAACGCTCTCCGGTATTCGTTCGGATATTTGTTTCTCTCTATGCAGTCCCCAATAAAGGTAGCCAGTATTCTTGCCTCCGCAAGTTTGGCTTTGAATCGTAGCTACCAATTGATTGCCTCTAAAACTTAAAATTTCACATCAGAGAATTCAGAAGAGTATTTGGCTTTTGGCGTTTCAATGGCTGCATACGTGCCAAGGATGATGTCACTGTAGTTACGTGTCGAGTTATCTTGTTTGTGTCTTGTGAACTCCGACAGCAGTTGGTATGAGTTTAAATAATATGTGCACCTGAGTATATGTTGACCTTCATTGCTCGAAGGAATAGGAGGTACTGAATGGTGTCTTTGTTGTTTTATTATCTGGGCTGTCAGTACTTAATTCAAGTAATGTTACTTATAAGAGCAGTTACTTGATGACTCTGATCTGACTTTCCGGTTGTAACAGTTGATATCTAATCATCAGGCAGAACGGAACACTAACTATACTTGGTAAGGGTTCTTCATAAGTAATTCCGCAGTTTACTGTGCATAACTAACTGGTGATTTCGTTAAAGGTCGTTATTTATTTTAGTTTGCTTATTAGTTTATTTGTTACTTATTTAGTTTTATTGGTTTTGGTTTAGTTTTAAATTTAGTTAGTTTATTAAGGTGTAGTTTATATTATTTTAGCTAACTTAGTTAGTTTATTATTTAGCTTAATTAGTGGCAGTTTAGTTTAATTAATTGTGTTGCTTCCAAGGAACCCTTATTCTACCCCTGTTAACCAGAGGAAATTAAACTTCCATCTGAGATATATGTGTGTCTTTCGTGTCGCTAGCGGTTAACAAGAATGAACACACAAACAGCCTCCATCCAAGTACTGCGTCTAGCCTGTGCTAGGCTGGCGCTCTGAGTATGCGTGTGCCCGTATGCAGACCTGTGTAGACAGCCCTAGTGAGTCAATCAAACCTTGGTACACAGTGCCTGGTGCAATCTGCCCCAGCTGCGGCAGCAGACAGTCTCCTCTGTGTCTGCCTTGTTGGCTTGCCGCCAAGGCAGCTATGAGCGGTCTGTTGCTGCACGCGCGCTCTCGAAAGCTGACGCAATCTGCCGAGAGCTTAGGCGG